ACAGATTCCAAGTATTGGCAATGGTTTGTTTTCATCAAATGGTAAAGCACATGCTCGTCAGAAAAGGATGATTGGTCCTGCATTTGCCACAAAGAACTTAAAGGGATTTTCAGAAATCTTTAAAGAGAATGTTGAAAATCTAGTAAAGGTAATTTTATTATACAGTCGAACCTTTCCACAACGATCACCTTAACACACATGGACATAGAAAAGTGGTCATCATAGAGAGGTGACCTTTTTTTTGGGGGNTTTTTTGGGGGGGGGGGGGGGAGGGGGTTGGGGTGAATATGACACCTGTTTTGTAGGGGATGCAACATTTTTATTTTATAAAATGCTTGCTGTTAAGCATATGAAGACTTAGCACAATTGAAATTTATCATGCAATAAACCAGTAACTAAACATAAACAAAGACCAACAACTTGCAGTACGACTCAAGTTGTTTGACATGGAGTACCTAACTGATAATGGTCAACAAGTAGTGATCGATTATAACAGCAATTTTATTTCAAATCGGTATTATTTGTAGTGTTTCGAACTTATGGGATCAGGGGACAGAACCGACACCTTGATAGCCTTGAGAAATCAACATTTCGCTCTTTCATAAGTCAAATGAGCATCTCTGTAGTCATGCAATCTTGTGAAATCAACATTTAACTGTTTCTTCGGTGAAAAAAGTGTCTTTGAGGTCGGCCGTTGACATGAAATCAACATGTGTTTTTTTTAAGTGAAATCAACCTCTCTCAGTTTTTGTGTGCCAACATTTGACTGGCTTCTTTAAGTGAAATGAGCATCTCTGTGGTCATGCATTCTCATGAGAATGCGTGACCACAGAGATGTTCATTTCATTTAAAGAAAAGCATCTTTGAGGTCGCCGTTTGATGTGAAATCAACATGTATGTGTATTTTCTTACAGTGAAATCAACATCTCCGAGCTTTCCCGTTGACGTGAAATCAACATATAACTGTTTACTTTAAGGTTACAGTATACCTTCAGATCGGCAATTTTCTTCAAATTTGGATTTTTGGTTCAAAGTAATGGTCAAAGAGCAATCTCTAATTTCTGAAAACAAAATTGAAAAAAACTCAATATTGGCGGAGAAATGGAGGTTTTACGTTACGGCCGGAAGTAAAAGTTCCCTCTTGATTGACAGCCCTATAACGTGTACGCAATCAACCGAGACTACTTTCGCGGGAATATATGGATACCACGAATTGGTTGGCTACTCAGATCCAAGCATTTTTCGTATTAGATGTAATTCTATTAAGTTATAAGTAAACATGGACCAC